TGATTATTAAAATGAATAGAAAAATATATGTGTATAGATGATGTTTTCCTTCAGGGAACTATTCATCATAATAACTCTCATGTCTGATGGGACGAGACACTAGGGCATGGCAGAAATTCCCTGCAAAATCTTAAAGCACCTCTTGTGAAAAGATTATTCCCGTTTTCCAAAGATTCTATACATTTTCCAATCAATTATATGCACAGATGATGTTCCCTTTTAGGGAATTATTCATCACAATAACTGTCATGTCTGATGGGATGAGATAATATGACATGGCAGGGATTCCCTACAAAAGGTAAAAACACTTCTTGTGAAAATACCCTTCCCTTTTCTTTAGGGATTCTTTGCATTTTCCAATCAATTATATAGAAAAATGATGTTCTGCTTCGTAGAATTATTCATCAAAATAACTCTTATGTCTGATGGGATGAAACACTATTACATGGCATAGATTCCTATAAAATGTAAAAGTTCTTCTTATGAAAAGAGCCTTCATTTTTCAAAGTTATCTACATTTACCAGTCAATTATATGTAAATATGATGTTTCCCTTTGGGGAACTATTCATCACAATAACTCATATGTCTAATGGTAAGAGACACTATGACATGATTGAGATTCCCTGTAAAAGATAAAAATGCTTCTTGTGAAAAGTCTTCCTTTTTTTTAAAGATTCTCTACATTTTTCAGTCAATTATATGCAAATATGATGTTCCCCTTTGGGAAACTATTCATCATAATAAATCTTATGTCTGATGGGATGAGACACTATGACATGACAGAGATTCATTGCAAAAGGTGAAAGTGCTTCTTGTGAAAAACGTCTTCCCTTTTTCAAAGATTTTCTTAATTTTCCAATCCATTTTATGTATAGATGATATTCCCCTTCGGGAAACTAGTCATCACAATAACTCACTATATATTTGTTTTCAATTGTGGTCCTAAGTGTCTCATTTTGTTTCCATTCATTTCATTATGATATTCATAAATTTTTGTGCTTCTTACTGCCATATTTTTTCTCCATCATTTCACTCTACTCTTCATAACAAAACGTTGATTCTTCAATGACATCTAAATTTTTCTTGTCTTATCTCCCAAATGATATATTGACCGATTTTTATGTTGCACTGCTAGTAATTGTATTGAGAAATTTCTCAACCTTTGTTTAATTTTCTGGGACTTCTACTTAGCTTCAAATTCAAGAATTATATAATGAAAATGTTTGAATTTATGGGTATGCCTTAGAACTTTGGATCATTTTGAATACTTTTGCTATTACAAAAGGCTTATATTTCGAAAATCCTCATGCATTGTTTAGGGAAGGTATACTAGAGTTTTTTTAAGTATTATGTTAATGTTAATGTTAGTTGTAATATTTTGAACCAAGCAATAGGCGATTCTTTGTTTTCAATTGTGGTCCTCATTATCCTATTTTGTTTTCATTCATTTCGTTTTGATAATCATAAATTTTTTGCTCCTTACTGCCCCATTTGTTTTCCATCATTTTTATTCTATCTTCATAACAAATAATTGATTCTTTAATGGCATCTAAATTTTCCTATCTTATCTCCCAAATGATATATTGGTTGAGTTTTATGTTGAACTGTTGGTAATTGTATTCAGGATTTTCTCAACCTTTGTTTAATTTGTTGAGATTTTCCTTGGCTCCAAACTCAATAATTATATTTGCAAATATTCGACTTTATGGGTATGCCTTAAAACCTTTGGATCATTCTAAATACTTGCTATTAAGAAAAGCTTATATTTCAAACAAAAATCCCCATGGATTGTTTAGGGAATGTATACTAGAGTTTTTTTTTTCAAGTACTATGTCAATGTTGATGTTCGTTGTAATATTTTGAACCAATCATCTACAAAGGGTGTGATTGAAGCAACTTATACGTTTGTATATGATTGTTTCACACTAAAAAGAGGTTACAACAAGCATCTAACGATTCATCCAATGCATCTAACGATGAAGAAAAAAGAGCTTATGCATTGTAAAACTAGGACTATGCATACTATTGTCAAAATTATATTATTTTCATACATCGAAAAGATTCCAAAAACATATTGCTTTTAAGCTCATGTTTTTTAAGGGTTGTTTTTATTGTTTTTAGAAACATGAAAGTATATTGTAATAGATTTTTGTTATTAGTCGGACTAATTAAATAAAAAAAATTATGATTTTAACCTCATATTACAAATGATGTTCCACACTTATCATATCACATATTACATAAAATCAATGAATACAACAAACATTACACATAACCATAATATTCCACAACCATCATACCACACACTACATTAAACGAGTTCTTCATCTACGTACCTGAGGAGATTAGAGAAACAAATATTAAATAAAATCATAAGCATACCACTCTTAGCTGGAAGCTTTAGTCCTTGCAATCAGTAGACTCATCAGAAGTAATATTAAGTTCTTCAATTTTTTCATGCTTTTTCTTGTTGTCTACTATGTACAAATTGGAGCCATGCTTTCGGGTCTCTAACATCTATCTCTATTTCTCCTTCCTCTACATTTGTTTATCCATCATTTATCTCAATTACTTTAGTATTCGAACTAGAAACACACCACCATCAACTTCAACAAACTCTACATACAACTCCACGTTAGAAATAGAATAAGATTCGTATGTGTCAATCATACCAGCAATGTCAACATCATCGTTCAGAGGAAACTTCGTGCATGATATTGGTAATTTAAAATTTAATGAAGATAATCTTCATTTCTTCACGGGTGAACCTTTCTTTCGATCTTCATGATCAACTCGCCTAGTTGAATTTTTTTAAGACATGGTAAAAGATTTATAATCATAAAAAATAGTTACAAAAAAGTAGCCATGTAAAAAAATAAAGGTTTGAATTGAAAGACTCACTTTTTTCCAAATGTTTTAATCTTCAAGTGAGAGTAAATAGCTTCACTTCACACCTATTTATAGGCCCTCATATAAACTAGATATTATTATATATTTTCCCTAAAAATAATATATTATTATTATTATTTTGACAAAGTATTTGACCTTAAAAATAAGTTTCTTATTCATATTATGTCAAAATCAAATATTGTTTCAACATATAGAATTCAATTAAAAACATAATATAAAAACTAATGATGTCTTCTTCTTGAATGAGTTTCATAGGGCGGTGGTTGTCTATTTCAAGCGGAGTTTCTTTGTATAGGTTGCTCTTCCTCTTCATCTTCAATATCATCATCATCATCGACATCAACTTCATCTTCTTGTGTCAGAATTAATGTCGAAGAAGGACCTCAATAGAATAACGAATGTGGATGTGTACGATCAACAATCTCACCGCTTACTAAGAACTACAAAAAGAATGATATAGATGGATGTGATTCGTATGGTGGTGGTGGTGGTATTGCTGTTGGTGGAGGAGTACCACCCACTAGATACGATACATATGAAGAAAATGTCAGATCTATAGGCATAGGCATATAATATCCTCTAGGGAGGCTCGAAATATAACCCAGCTTGCTCGGAATATAGCCTTGCTAGCTCAGAATATAACCCTGTGGGCTCGACAAGTAAATCAACAGGTTCAAAATATAAACTAACGAGCTTGGGATATAACTCGAAGGGCTCAAAATCGATCAGAATGGTGTGATGTTTCCAATATTGCTGCTGAAGATGGACTAAAAGTATCTACTCTTCGTCCACGATTAGTCGGGGGACGATGATAATCTGTTGGTGGATGTTTTTCCTGACGATGATGAATAGACCTGTCTTGTGCTTCCTTTGAAAGTATGAACGACTTTCTATTTTCATTGAACCATGAAATATAGTTAGGTGAAAGTTTGAAACCAGTTTTTGACATATATTGGCAAGTAAGAATGCGTTCATAATGGTTCTCCCACATCGTTACCCACTTTCTGTGCTTCTTCATCCAATTAACACCTTGTTTGCCTCGCCTGTCAAGTATATGCATATTGTCAAGCTTTAAGGGTGCTTTAGGAATAAATTATGTGAAACCAAAATGGCGAAGCATACAATCACTTGAATGCCACTCAACAATAGCATAACAAATAAGAGGCACAACCACTACTCATACGTCTAAAGGACTACTTCATGTGGGATGCAAGCCCTCAATTCTTCATCATATAGGCATCCATTGGAATTGAAACAAAATATATATTTATTATCAAAATTTACATAAGATTATAATTATATAACGATAATTAAATAAAAAATTAATATTTAAAAACGTACTTTTGAACCAGATTTTTACTCGATTAATAACTTGAAATCTTGTAATTCATCATGACTTTTTTTATTGATGACCACATATTTAATTTTACCAACAATTATACGTGGTCTGTCACGTGAATACAAGAGATTTAGGAATATGCCTTGACGATCAATGATTAACGATGAAAAAAAAAATCACTCTTTGAAAACAAGGAAAAAAAATGATGGTGACATTGATCCAGAAGAAGCTCAACAGGCTCTTGAAATCACGCCCTGATTTACAGTAACATAATAATACCCAATCGAAACTATAAATTCGAAAAGCTTTGCCATTTATATACATGATCACTGTTCTTAATGTCCTCTTCAATTCAAAGTGGGTTTCGCTTTGGTGTTCAAACAGAAGTAGACTTTCAACAAGTCAAGAATAGCTAAAGACAAGACGCAATAACTAAACAATGCAAATGAATCTCATCTTCATTCACACGTTAAACAATAGATAATAAGCAACAAATGACTTGTTAAACTAGAGTTGCCTATCACCTATTCAGCATGCGTGATGAATGCCATGTCAAAAAAACTTAGGGGTTCGACTAAGTGTTCGTTGACCGTTCTGAGCTTCGAGTGATTTCAAACAAATCGAACTTCAAATAGCATAATGCTCGAGGTCGCATGCATATTTTAATCAGTAATAATTTTCAACATGAATTTAACTAAAGTTCAAACGACATAGAGTAACGTATAGGAATCAAAATTATTCTAGCTAATTTCAAATCGAGCTCGAGCTTGAATTCGGCTCAGTTCAAGTACACTAACATTAATATAAGAATTATCATAACAGTTGACATATATCACGCTCATAGCTCAGCTGCTTGAGCATCCTAATATGCCTAAACTCAATCTTCCCTTACAATTTGCCCCAAATGATATTGAAAAGTACACGACAAGTCTTCTCTTCTCATCATCAATCAATCGACAAATGGAAAAAAGTAATCAAAAACCAATACTAAATCATCAAATACTAAAAAAGGTTAGCATAATTTGTGTTCCCCAGATTTCTACTTATTCTTGATTGTGATTCCAAGCTCACCTGCAACAATAACAGTGGTTGCCATGTCAAGAAACATACCGTGTTCAACAACACCAGCAATCCTCAATATAGCATCGCTTGCGATCTGCAAATCCCCCAAATCTTTCTTCAGATACAAATCCACGATATAATTCCCATTATCAGTGACGAATGACTTCCCTTCGCAATCGTTCCTCAGTTTGGTGACGCAACCCGAGCGTTCGAAAAGGTTCCGGAGTTTATTCGCAGTGAATTTCCAGCAAAATGGGACAACCTCGACGGGCAAAGCCAAACCACTACCGCCCAAATGTTTCACCAATTTGGATTCATCAACGATACAGACGAATTTCTTGCAAGCTCCTTCAACCATTTTCTCTCTTAAAAGCGACCCGCCTCTCCCTTTGACGAGATTGAGATGCGGGTCGACTTCATCGGCGCCGTCAATGGCTAAATCAATGGCGGGATGGTTGTCGAGATCTGAGAGTGGGATACCCAAGGAGAGAGCTTGTTCTTCCGTCTTCTTCGACGTGGGGATCCCGACGATGTTGGTGAGCTTGCCTTGACGGAGCAAATCGCCTATTCGATCGACGGCGTGTTTGGCGGTCGAACCTGTGCCGAGACCCAGAACCATACCCGACTCGACGAACTCGACGGCTTTGTAAGCGGCAATTTTTTTCAATTCATCTTGGGTAAGGAAGACGGAAGGGGACATAGGAGGGGACAATGATAAAGCCTCCATTGAAGCAGGTTTTTTGGACCAAGCAATCGCCATTCTCTGAGGGTTAAAGGTTGATAAAGAATAACAGAATATATATTTTTTGTAAAAATGGGATGATAAATCAAAGGCCAAATGAGGAATGAGGCAAAATAAAGACTGGGGAATCAAAAGATGAGGAAGGGGAAGAGATAAGGGGAATGGGTTTGTGTGGTGAAGAGAAAGAGAAAGGGTTTTGGGGGTAAATTGAGAGAAAGGCGGGATGTTTGGTTGTATGGAAAATGGTGGGTTTGTTTGGTTCTTATAAAAGAAAAATCCGGAAAAGCTCCAAATATCAGATTTCCAAAAATAAATTTTTCGTTTTTATTTTTAATTCGATTCTCCGCATAGCATATTCTCTCAGAGCATGGATGGGTTTGTCACCGTTACTTTTCTTGGATTTCTTTGTGCTTTTCAATATTTTTTTACCTTTTCTGCATAATATTCTCTTTTCATCTTTTCTGTATTTCTAAAAATGCTTATTCCAAGCAAATCTCTAATCATCTTTTCCATGCGAAAAAAGACATTTTTACCTTTTCGTAGGTAAAGTATCCGAATGGTCCTTTATTATAGGATAATACTTTATTAAATTTTTCGATTATTAAAAAATATAAAATGTTCATTCGACTATAGAATATTGTTTTGTTTAATCATTTGACTATTAAAAGTTATAAAATAATCACTCAATTATTTATTTATTCTAAACTCATAATTTTCTGTTAAAAAAATAACTGCAACCTAAACTGGGCGTTAATCTACTGACTTTGATATGATAAAATTTGATCTTATAATCTCAAATGACTATTATATCCTAGTCAACATGTTAACGTCCAATTCAAACGATTGTCAATCTTTTTAACAGAAAATGATGAGTTTGAAACATATGAATAGTTGAGTGATCATTTCATAACTTTTAATAATTGATGGATTTAATAAAATAATCTTCAATTGACAAAAAAATATTTTATAACTTTAATAGTCAGAAGACTAAATAAAATATCACCGCATAATTAAGATAATCATTTGTGTATTTCACCCAAAATTAAAGAGGGAGTTATTACAGAAGAAACTCTGGTTCAACTTGGTTGGATGGCAGCCACCCAACAGAAGCACGAGCATCATTGGGAACTCAATCGGTCCACCATCGAATAAGTTGATCAACATCTAATGGCCCACACATTGATTTTTCATTTTCAAAGATTCAGCCGTGTTCATTTATATCTTTAGATAAAGCCGATGATGGTGCATTCAGATGTTTAAAATGTGAAATAAATAATAAATATGATAAAATATTATAAATTAAATGATAAAAGAGAGAAAATATAAATAATTTTGTTTACGAAGAATATGGTTATGAATTTATTGATCCAACACGTATGTTATCGATTTCTTTACATCCTTTAAAAGTAGAGAAAATCGTCTCAGTGATCAAAAATGTCTTATAATATACGATTTTAATCAACTTTTTTTTGATTTGCCAAAATGAACAACAAAATCGCAATGCGAAATAAAAATCGCAACGCGATCTCCAAAATCACAAATCAGTTCCCATAATCGCAATGCGATTATGAAGAATCGCAATGCGATAGTACAAATTCGCATTGCAATTTTCCATAATCGCAACGCGGATATGAAAATCGCAACGAATATAAAAATCGCAACGCGAACATATAAATCGCAACGCGATTCTGACTATCGCAACGAGTATCCGTAAAATCGCAATGCGTATCCGTAAATCGCAACGACAATACGTAAAATCGCAACGCGTATCCGTAAATCGCAACGAAAATACGTAAATCGCAACGCATATCTGTAAATTGCAACGAGAATACGTAAATCGCAATGCGTATCCGTAAATCGCAATGCGAATACCTAAAATCGCAACGCGATTTTTAAAGTGCCATTATAATCGCTACGCGTATTTTATTTTCAAATTCCAAACACGAATATTAATTATCGGAACACTGAACCGTCCACAGTATATCCCGTAATCACAACTCATAACCTAAAACCTAAAAAAAATCACAACTCAGTCTCATCTCTATCTCTCACTCTCTACGGCGAAATCCGTCCCCATCTCCGAAGATTTCCGTCCCCATCTCCGGCGAAATCCCTCACAACCATTCACGGTCAGAAATCCCTCACAATCATTCAGAAATGGGAAATCAACCTCCGATGGTTAGTTTTTTTTAATTATTTTTATTTTGAAATTTTTGCATTATTTTAGGTTTTTCATATTGAAATTGATGATAAGTTTACTGATAATTTCAATAATAGATTAACCATTTCACTTAGATTTCTTATTAAATTCATTCGATTGCTGCCAATACTGCTAAATTGTTTAGTCTTTAACCCTGTGAAGTTAGTATTTGTCTTTGGTTTGTCTTTTGGTTGAAGTAATGCAATCCATTAAAGTTTCAATTTGCAGAAGAAGAATAGTTTCTAAACTTAAAATCGCTACATGAAAATGAAAATCGCAACACGAAATTGACTATCGCAACGAGAGAAATGAAAATCGCAACGCGAAATAAAAATCGCAACGCGAAACCAAAATCGCATTGCGATTTTAATTTCGCGTTGTGATTTTCATTTCGCGTTGCAATAGTCATTTCCGCGTTGCGATTTTCATTCTCTCGTTGCGATTTTCATTTCAACCAAAAGACAAAACAGTGTTGCAAATTTTAGTTTCAAGAATAAACTACTACTCTTTATGTTTATTGTTTTTGGTATATCTTCACAGTGTAGTTTTTGGTATATCTAACTTAGTATGTTTATTGTTTTTGTAGAAATTTTTTTCGGCTTCATTGACATTAAGGAATAAAGTTAGCCTAGCTACTACAATTGCTTCGAAGCTTTCACCTGCACAAAGAAAATTGTTTGAGGAAACCTGCTTCGGGCCATGGCTGAGAGTACAGCATCCGGGTGGAGATGCTAATTTGACCCATTTGTGGCTTCAGACCATGACTAGCGATCTACCCGACAGTATACAACGTGGTGAGGAAGAGATATGGTTTCATTTTCCACCGGCGTATACTTGTTTTGGGAGGAAGGAGTTCTGCTTAATCACTGGTCTACGATTCGGACACGATGATATAGGCTGGTATACTCGTCATATCACCCGCCCATCATGGTTATCCCGGGTTTTTCCTGATGAGTCAATAGAGAAGCCGAACTTACACGTCGAAGACCTGAAGAAATTATTTAATAAGAAAGATGGTTTTACTCGGATGAATGACGTCGATGTTGTCCGAGTATGCCTTCTAGTACTTTTGGTTGCCGGCTTTTTAGGCAGAGAGGCCAGACAACCTATTCCTCAAGAGCTAATATTATTGGTAGAGGACCTAAATGCATGGAATCTGTTTCCGTGGGGTTCGTATATATGGAAAGCTACCTGGACTAAGTTGTCGTCTGCCTTTGATGACCGCAAAAGTTTACGTAGCGATGGGTCGAAATACACTTTGTCAGGCTTTGTTTGGGCCTTTAAGGTAAGAATTTCTATATAATGTTTTCAAAATTATAATTAATTATTTAACAATTACTAATGTTTGTTATTATATTGTTTGTAGATATGGATATTCGAGGCTTTCCCCAGCATGCGGACATATGCATTAAAAACTTCAAATGATATTCCTAGGGCTATTTCCTGGAAGAGGAAACGTCTGTTGGATTGGGAAGACTTAATACCATATGCGACAATAAATAATGTAAGTTAACACAAATACTATCATATATAAACAAGTTATTAATAGTAGACGTTTAACTTTGTTTGAGTTTTTATATTTTTAGGAGGCCAACATTCCATTACAGAGACTGACACCCACGGAGGCTAAGCTTGCCACTAATTGGTGGCAAGCTAGTCAGCGTTTTTTTGATGGCACGAATGATGAGAAGCCTCCACTTCCTCCACTTCGAGAGCCATCACCTCACCCAGAGCCATCACCTGATCGACCCGACTATACACCTCTACAACGAGAGCCATCACCTATCCCGTCACATCATCGAGCCTCTTCTCCACCATCACCTCATGATAGGCGACCGGCAAAGATGCCACGACTTCTATCTCCCTGTTCTCCACCTCCACGGGATGAGTCAAGGGAGTTACGTGATGAGGTCAATGCCTTGCGTGAGGAGATCGGTACTGTACGCGATAACGATGGTGCATGGCGTGTGGAGGTGTCTACTTTACGTGGTGAGGTTGCCGCTCTACGTGAGATGGTAGTATCATTGCAAAGTGAGGTTCATACTCTACGCAATGAGGTAAGTTTAAGATTTTCCATATTTAACTTGATGATAAATTTACTCGTAATTTCACTTAGATTAACCATTTCACTTAGATTGCTTAGTAAATTTATTCGGTTGCTGCCAATACTGCTAAACTGTTTATTCTTTAACACTATGAAGTTAATATTTGTCTTTGTTTTCACTGTTTAAATATCATGTCTGTTTATTTACTGCTTTTTGTATTTAATTATTTAGCGGCCCGATAAGGTAGATGCTTTACGTTGGGATTTTTTTGCACGACGGAGTTCACGCATCAGACGGCGTGCACGTGCTATTAAGTCTCCGTACACCCCAATAGTGCGAAGACACCGCAAGAAGAAGCCCGACTCACCTGTCACCCCTCAAGAGTCCACTCCTATCGTTGAAGAGGCCCCTATCATTCCTCGAGAGTCCCCTCCCACCGTTCAAGAGGCCACTGTCATCGTTGAAGAGGTCCCTCCCACCATTCAAGAGCCCGATTCACATGGCGTCATATGTAAGATTCTTGAGAAACCCTCTGACGTGCCGGACATGATGGATGAGAGTTGGCTCTCGTATGAGTTACTGGCCAGTACCATTCCGGTATCTGAAGTGGAGAGGAGACAACTACCAGACACAATTCTGGATAACACCCTTTGGGCTAAGACCGCAGTTGATTTTTATCTACATGAGCGGAGCCAGGGGTGTTTCACTGACATATGCAAACTCAACGATGATATCTATTTGTTGCTTGATCGGTCTTGGTGGGGCGTATTATTAGGGGTCGAAGACAATGGCTATTTCGATGGAGGGGTAAGTCTTATATTTTTCTTATATTTCAATTTGATTATTTTTTTTAAATTTATATAAGTCACTAATATATGTCTTTTTTTGTAAAACAGCATATCGATGCGTGGGTGTCACGTCTTCTAATAATTATGAAACTTAAGAAAAATAAAAGTAATACACGATATACAA